TCTTCTTATCATAAACTTGTGTAATACTATTGCTTTTTGGGTTTCTCAGGTCTCCTCTTTCCTTCCACAATCATGGTATTTCATGGAACCAAAAACCCCAACCCACTTCTTCTCCGGTGATTGCAGGTAAGGTAGTTCATGTAACAGTTGAAAATACAGATTCCTACAAACTAAACCCAGGAAACCACACTGAAAAGAAAGGAAAAAACCCCAAACCAACACAATAAGCCTTTGACTAGCCAGGTCAAAGCAACATGAGATGCAGGGGCACCTCAGCCTTGTCTCAAGCACTGTCACTGTGTAAACACCACCAGAATTCTCACAATAGTATTTCTCACTTTCTTCTCCCAATCCAAACATTCCCAGCAAGTCTCACTGAATCTGAGGATGCTGCTGCTTTCTTTTCACTCTTGCTCACTTGCCAAGTGTGCTGTGGGAACTCTCACCCACGCCTTTCACTTCTGAGGGTGTCCTTACTACTGGGCTGGTTTGCCCCCTCTGATGAATTTTAAGACAGATGCAGTAAATTCTAAGTTTTGAGCACTGAATTTTAACAAATATACATGCAAACATTCCCTCAAATAGCCTCCAGCCTCGTGCATCCTTCTGTGATGTGGAAACTGTGGTTGAGTTAGAGATGGGAAGAATCAGGCACTGTTTGTAAAAGGAAATTTAAAAAGAAATTTTGGGTTTGCCTACTATAAATATTTGTACACAGCAAATGCTGAAATCCTTAGAGGCAAGTAAGCAGCAGCACACACAGAAACTATGGTTTAATGTATGCAGTAGTAGGCAGCCATCCACCACCCCCTCGATCTTAATTTAGTTCACAACATTTTGAACATTGAAGTTCCAAAGCCTAATCTATCTCTGTTTTTGTAGTGCTATGGTAAGGACATTTTTCAAGACTCTTCTAAATAATACTGTCAAAACCAAGCTGATACAGAAATCATTAGTACTGCCCCAGCTACACCCTTTAAAGAAATACCTATTATGTCTTTGCTGGAAAGTAGTATTTTTATGACAAGATAATTTTGAAGGTGCCAGCACTAATGGAGACAGCATCCTGTCAATTCTGGAGCTATGCAGGTTTGCTCTATTACAGGGCAAGAAGAACAGAAGGTCTTACATTGCAATTAGTGTTGACAGCCGTAGGAAATGGTGCTCAGGCATGGTTTCCATTCTTCCAGATTCCTCTCCCTCTGCAGATTTAAATAGCATGGTCACAGGATAAAGGTTTGTCCTAATTAACATTGTCCTAATAACATTTTGTTGACCTGTCTCTGCATCTTCCAGCTGATGTCAAAATTTTTAAAGACAGCCTCCTGTTTGCCTATGTGAGCTGAGTGCCCCTGACATTTCTACCATGCCAAAGTGCATTTAAAATCCATCTGATGCTTGAGAATTTCCAGCTAAATGAACAGAGACGTTTGGTCCTGTTTTGTTAAAAGATTTGCACAGAAAGAGACAGAACTGTAGCAGAAAGTGAACGGAGCTTTCTTCTGCTGCTTTTATTGATTGTGTGAGCCCAGGTAATCTAGGAGAAAGCAAACACCAGCGCTGGGGAGCATTAGGCAGAACCAGGATGGAACCATTAATAGGGCAGAGTGTCTGAGTGCTGGGGCTTATCCAAAGTGGCCCCTGTCACATGTCCACTTTAACTTTCCAGAACAGGTTTATATTTAGCAGGCAGATAAAATGGATGTAAAGGCGAAGTGCATTACGGTTACAGCAGCTTTGGAGATGAAGTTGTGACTCAGTACATGAACTGTAAAGGTCAACTTCTACTCTCATTTGTGCAGCTCCTCTGAAGCTGATGAACTATGTAGGTGTTACATGAGAGTATCACCCCTGAATTTAATAATATGTGACTACATGAATGTGACAATGGTATTTTCACTGGCAGTCTGTAAGCCTTGCGTGATACAGTTGTTCTGCATGCTTCTACTTTAAAAATACCTTCCCACACTGATGATTAACTCAGACTTTATTTATTTCCCCAAGAAAATATCTTAGTCACATCTAAAGAAGTGCCAGATTAGAATTAGATAGTGTGCTTGAGATATATAAAAGCACAATGGTATTGATTTCTGTGTCAAATATTATCTTTACCAACCAGGTTATGCAGTCCTTATCTATAAAGGTGAAAATTCTTTGATTCATAGAGTTATATCAAGGATATCTGGTGTCAAATCAGTGAGTAAATTCCAACAGGCTGAAAGTTCTGCTAAACAAGACATGTGACACTTGGAAAGGGTGTTTTGTGCTTGGGTATTGGTTTCTAGGGTTTTGGTTTTATTTTGTTGTTGCTTTTTTTTTTTTTTTTAAAGTATTGGAATCCAAACAAAGACATACCATTAACAAGAAAATAAAATTTTAAGAGTTTACCTATGTTCATGACCTTTTGAATCTGCCTTAGAGTAGGATTATGCTCACACAAAATTTTATTAAGAATTCACTGTCTGTTGACTCTTGAGTGGCTTAAGAATTCAGAAGAGAGTCAAAAAAAAAAAAAAGGCCAGATAAGAAAGTGAAAAAAAATATCCTAAAATATACATCACATTTCTGGAGAAAATGACAAAGAGCATTTATTTTTCTTATATAAATAATTCTGCACTTTTTAGAAGTGAATTTTCTTAACAAGGATTAAGTAACAGCAAGCAGGTCTGGGACTCTTTCATTCCTAGAACTTTTAACACAACTCTTCACACAAGTATCTGAAAAAATGCACTTAGGCATGTCCCTAAATCCCATCTCCTGGTAAGAGTCCTTGTGACTCAGTCTTCATGCCATGCTGTAAAATAACCACAGGGCTTTCTATCAACTGCAAATGGTCTCAGTGGCACTAGTTCATGACTTTATAGACCCAAAAATAAGCTTGTTGCATACTTTTTTTTTCCTCACAGTTAGGTCTAATAGACCATTTTCTTCCCTTCTTTGTACCTTTCCCCCATGGTGAAATATTTTCTAATCTGTTTTCCATATTTAGATTTTAATTGCAACCTCTACAAAACAAGCATCCTTCACAAATAGCCCCAAGCTAAAGAAATTCATATATACTTGTTTCAGTAATCAATTTTTTAGGACTACATAAAAAACAGCTGCAGGGAAAACTATAAACCTTTTTTTCATGTTTTCCAGTGTTTGACGCCAGGTAAGAGTGTTGCTGTGTTTTTTGAATCTGCCAGATTAGACAGAGGTTTTACTACAACCTGATACAAGAACATAGACTACACTCACAGATTATTCTAAAAGACCTGCAGCAGAAGGCCAGAAAAGCTGCTAAAGACCTAGAACAAATAACAAAGAAACAAATACACAACACCTCAACCATCATAAACTTAATCAAGTTATGTGCCTTTGAATACACTGGGTTCTTCCAGCAGAGGAAACAGCAGCTTCTTGTTTTTGTGTTAAGTTCTCTCAAGAACAACACCATTCCTGTTCAAGGAAAGGAAATAAAGTTACAGGCTGGATCAGCCAGAAGTGCTTCCTCCATTCAAGGTGCCAAAACAAGACACATGAATTGTTGACAACAATGTGAAAATGCAATGATGGAACACCTGAAAGTTAAATCAACATTTTTCTCCTATTGTTTTAGGTCCAAACATCCAAAGGACTGATTCACTGTCAAATCCTGGAGCCAGAAGGAAAATCAGCCTCTGACTGCATTGTTCTGATGGAAAACAATCAGCTTGCCAGCATGAACTTTCTTCAAGTGAAAGATATTCAGGAACTAAACCCAAACCAGTCAGGAACAATTTCACTGCCAGCAAAATTCTCAGCAACAGCAGGCAAGAAAGTAGTTTGAAAATACATGGGGCTTCCCTGTCTGTGAACAGTCACTTTCTTCTCTGTCTGTTCTCAATCAAGAGTTAGTTTTCCTGCCTTTTGGACTGTCTGCCATTTGTGAAAGTTTCTAGAGGTGCAGTCTGTCAAAGTAGCTGACTTCTGCCTATAAGTCAAATCCCTTCTGCATGATGAAAGGCTGAAACAACAGCCTAATCTAAAGCAGAACCATCCCTGTGATGGGAATAGGGCTGTTACTCCCAGAAGGATCTTATACATCTGTTCCATGATTTTAAACGCTCTGAACAGCAATTTAGTTTCTAGATATTTATGACATCTTCCCCTCTGTAAATACCTCCCTTTCCCCTCTGGAAATACCTGAATGCTGCTGTTTGCAAATGCTTACCTCAGACTGATGGGGCTGAACACAGCAGCCTCCTGCTGTCCACCAGGGAATGCTTCATTCGTTCATGACTGCAGCTGAGGGAACAGTGCACATGAACCTTCAGTCACGAGGCTTCTGCTCATTCACCTCCTCTGAATCACACAAGCAAGACTTACAGGTAACAACAAAAATCAGCATTTTATATCCTCCAACTAACAGAAGATGGTGGGATCATCACTAAGCATGGGAGCTGTACAGGAAGAAACAGGACACAGTATGAGACATGCTCAAATCAAGCCATTCTAGGTTTTGGGTTTTTTTAATATTTACAGTAGCAGAAAATATTTTCTTAGCTAAAGAAAATCCATTACAAAATAATAAGGCATTAGAACAGAATCACCATACTTCAGGTGAATTTCTACTGGCTGTTATGACACTAGAAACCTTAAATCACCCTACAGGAGGGGTGGATGGCAAGGTTGAGGAAGAAAGGAAAGGAACTCTGTCCTGAGAGTCTGTTGTAGAGGTGAGGCATCTGCCACAGAGCTGAAACTGCTCTGCAGAGGTTCTCATTCCACTGCATGTACAAGGCAGAGATTACATTTTGAGCTGACGAAAGGTTTGAGACAGAGAACCTTTCTGCACCTCCAGAGATCAAGAACTGACGTTGTAGGATATGTTTTGAAAGCTTTTCAGTTGGTAGAGATTTTGTAAACTAAAATGAAGATGTTCAGGAGCAATGGGTGGTACTTGCCAATAGGCACTGGATCCCCCACCCAGGCCTCTGCAGGCAGAGGTCATAGCCATTAAAACAGAAGGCAAAGAATGATTGAAGTTAACTTTATTCCAAAATATGTATAATTTACAGGACCCAATAAGTGCTTCATTTGTGAACAAAACATTTCAATACTTGTGAATAACTTAGTAGTAGTAGCTTTGTGTAACACTTCAGTTCCAACAGAGGGAAATATGAAACAGTATTTTGGCACAAGGTTTTCTCTGCATGCAATAATGTAATTACAAGTTTCACAGTTACTAGGACAACATTCCTTCTTTGGGCTTGTCACTTGTAAATAGGTTTAAGAAATGAATGCTTGATTTTATCTGGTCACTGCAAGTTTACTGGCTTAAACAGCAAGAACCAAACATGAACATACTTTGAAAAATAGATTTGTCCACTAAATAAAAAAAACCCAAAACAACCAGTAATGAAAAGAAAAATATTTTAAGGACATTTCTCAGCCTTGCTGAGATTAACTCACACACGCTTTGGGAAAGACTCACCCATAAGATCTATTACTCATTCATTTCTGATAATTACAAACTTAAATGAGATTGTAATCAGGTGTTGAAGTCTTTAAGCTGTAAAGATATGGCCATATTTCATACCTAGCTTTATCACAGATGCACTTGCAATGTCTGTAGATAGAGGTACTGTCAATCTAGCTCTGCATGCAGGTGCTTGAAGCATGTAAAGCACTGGATGTTGTGAAATGTAGAGCTGGCACCACCCCAAGTCATCTGTTATATCCCATAGCTATATTCTATAGCTGTTGCAGGTACTGTAAAGCCAGCATATGAAAAACGGTCACAAGTAAAGAGACTTCTGTTATTTAACTCAGCAGGTCCTTGAGGCGTTTCCACCATTTCAGGCTGTCTGGTTACGTTTTCAGTGAAGAGTCAGACACACAAACACAAACATTCCCTCACCCTGACCACGGGGCTGAACGCGGAGTTCTGTTCATTGCACAGCAATGGCACTTGAAACAAGAGAATTCAGTCCTGTTCTAAGCAGCAAGTCCTTCTTGCACATATTTAAATTCACATCAACTCTTATAAAAACAACAACAAAAGAAACAGAAGATGCACGATTGCACCACACACTTGTTTGCTACCATTAAACAGCCGTATCCTCACAGTGCTCCTGTTGTCAATGGCAGCCTGGTTACTGGAGGCCCATCCTACCAGGACACAAGCATAGCAGCACTTTAAACCAAACAGGAATGAAAAAGCTTGCAAGGCTCAGAATGGTATCAACAGTTTGGTGTGAATGTATTTGGAACAGCAAATGGTACATTAAGATCATGTTTAAAAAATCAGCACACGTCAGAAATATATTAAAGCAAAGGAAGCTGTACAACCTTAATGATGAAGGCAAGCACATTTAGTTCACCTCCGAGTTGCCATTTCAGGAACATGTTCTTTTGCAAGTTGAGCACCCTATGATGATTCAGTATCAGTTCTATTAAATTTCCTTACATTTAAAAGGCTATTAAACCCCCTCTAGCCCCCTAAGCCCCCAGTCCTGCCAACTCTTACATTTCTACCCAGCCTCACAAAAAAAAAAATCAATTCACATCTTAGCAGCATAAGGACTCAGAACAGTGGAAGGCAGACATCGTTCTTTGTTCTCTTGCCCCTACACAAATGGGGTCCATATGACTAACAAGGAAATTCAGCCTCTTGTTTCTAACAGAAAAAAACCCAACTGTGTATTGTGCCTTGAAATAAAAATCTCTAAGGAGTTGGTTACATACATTAAGTTACAGACATCGAACAAGTTGTTCAAAACTTAACGAGGTTTCACAAGGTTTCTTTTGCAGCTGTTTAATTTACAGCTGCAAGTATATATACATCTTTTAATGCTTTCATATCCTTTGGAACTGAGAATTTTCTAAACTCAAGCAGCTTCACATAACTAAGAATATGTAGCATTAGCAAACTCTGACTTAAAACTACCAGTTTTTCTAGGCAAACACAAAGTTTTGGGGAGGACTCCCTCCCTATCCATAGCAAAAAGTATTTACAGGTGTATTAGCAGAAATAGACACAAATAAAGCTGTAAGAAGAGGAAACATCTACAGCCAAACAAACTTTCAGCATTCTGACAAACAAATATGGAAGGTAACAAGACAGACCTTTCATTTTTCAGCTTGTTTATGCTTATGTTCTCACAGAATGCAAGTCTCAAATCTGCTGTTTTCTTTGTTTGACTCTATACATTAAAGAAAAGCACAAATTAAACTACAAAAGTACTAATTCAATTTTATAATAGTGTTACACAGGCGTCAGGATCAAGATCCAGCAATCACAGCTTAACAGAATTAAGCAGGAAACACAAAGGGTAAGTACACATAACATTAGTATCACTTCCAGATAAAAGATTCTGCTAAGAGGCTACAGAGACTCTGATGTTACTTTCTGTATAGCAGCTCTAATGGCAATAGAGGATACAAAAAAGAGTGAGATAGTAAGTCACTGCTGACCAATACTTACAATACAGTGCCTTGAAAATCAAATCAGAGACAAACTGCAGAAAAAGGGAGATAAGTATCATTTTAGTTCCACCCAGAAATGGTTGTGCCTGAAGTTTATTTTATAACAAAGGTAAAAATAGAAAATCAGCCTTTTGCAAGAGGCTCTCTTTTCAAGAGAGCCTTTTTGTTTAAATGTGAAGAATTCATAATGTTCAGCAATAGTGTTTCAAATCAGGTTTCATGAAGTTTTCTGTGGGATTCACCAAACTATGAAGTCTGGCTGCAGTCTTCACATTGTCACAAAAGTACTTCATAAATCCAAACTGAGTGACATATGCCAGACATGCATGATCCAAACCTGTTTTTTAAATGAATAATTTATAGAGAACCAATATAGTGAAGAAAAAAGTTAATTTTGGTCAGAATTTCGTCTTTCCTAAGACAGTGCAGACATTTAATAATTTCTTAATACTGCACTTTCAATAAATGACTTCATGTTGTAGTACCGTGTTCACCTAATTAAAGTCCAAACTGTTTTAAATAGAATGAGTGAAAGGATTGTGATTTGCATGTTCTAATAAAATACACAAAGCTCAGAAAGACTTTTAATTAAAAAGTACAATAACTGGGTAATGATTACATTATAAGATTTCATCCATACAACTTTTGGGTCTTTTCCTGACAGTCCCTGATGCTAAGAGCTTTGGCTTACACAATAACATGGCAATTATCACTCTAATTTCTAAATCAGTTTCAAAGTACTTTAAACCTTGTTGGTCTCTCAGATGGCTACAATTCAAACCCTTCAGTAATTCTGCTCCTCAACACCCAAGATTGCTTCTCTTGCAGAGTAAAGGCTGACTTTCTAAATTCAGAGGTAACAAACATCTTCTACAGCTGTGGAAAATACCCTTTTCCCAAACCAGGTTTACAGTGACTGTCTCTCTTTCACGTCAGTGCAGACAACTTGCACATGGGAAACACAGAAATCAGTGTATGAAGAAGCATTCTCTGGTATTCCAGCCAGAGGAAGAAAAACACTTTAAAATGTGAAGTTGCAACATTACTAGAAAGATATTGCAATAGAATAAATTAACCCAACTTCGTTCTTTATCTTATCTCTCAATTTCAAAGTAGGCAAGTAAATATGAGTCAGTCATCTTCACAAGAAACAAAATTACAAGGGAGGCCTTCCTTTTTTAAATATATCCCACCCTTCAGATGAGAACTCAACAGACATTGTGAAACCTGGGGACATTCCCCACAGCAGAGTGACTTTCTCCTGAGGAACTGCAAAATTCCATTCTGCAGTTTCTTCAGCCAGACTGGAAGTGTCTGAAATCATACCTAGAAATGTTGAAAAATCAAACAGGCAACATAGATGGGGTCTCAGGAGGAAAATGTGAGTTTCAGGATTAATCTGAAGAGATTATTTCAGTAAAGACACTCACCACAGCAATATAAATATTAGGAAAAGACAAAAGAAAAAAAAAAGGATAAAAGAAAGGTATTGCTCATCTGCAACAAAAACAAGCTGGCTGCAATGAATGAGTAACTTAACTCCCACATCCTTGAACTGAGAATATGCAGCACAAAGCATAGGGAGTCCTCAAAACCTAAGGCTTGGACATACATTTGCTGCTGGGCTGCACAGTAAATATGCAGCCAATACCCCTCCTCTAACAACGGAGGAGTAAAGTCTGTTACAGACCCAGGAATTTGACACACAGAGTTTTCCTTTAAGGTTACAGAAACTAAAACCTGTCCAGTACAAAACCAGAGGCCTACATTTCACAGATATTATAGCAAGAGATAAAAATTACTTAAGGCCAAATTCCAACATACATTCACAACTGGCTTAATGTAAATGAAAAATACTGCAAACAGTGGCATGAGGGGCAACCTAAACATTAAAAAAAAGGTGCCAACAGGTCATATGCTTTTTCTCTGAAAAATCAGTTTGTGTGAGTTTGACTATACTCAGGGAAACTGTGAAAGCTGCAGGAACTGAGGGCTGAAGATCAAAGTGCAAAAGCAAGATAGAGCTGTTCTGGAAGGGCTTCTGTGAGCTCATCTCCCAGTTCTGCTGTATGGATTCCAACTGTTTTTGGAAGCAGGAAGTCCAAAACCAGAAGTCAAGGTGAGTGTTTTAAGGAATTTAATTGTCCATTTTTAAAGATTTCTCTTAAGGTAGTAAACCACTGTAACATTTCTCAACTCGTATCTCAATAAAGCTAGGAGAATTTCAGCAAAACCAAATGATTCCAGTCTCTGAGGCACACACATTGTAACATTTGCATCTTCAAGACAGAAATAATTTAAGCAAATCCCTTCTGAAAACTCTAAAAATGTTAGTCCCATTTATTATGCTAGCTAAAAGGACAACATACTAATTTTCCCTACAATTATGAATTCCATGTTCTTTTCCTACCCTTCAAAGAGCATCAGTGCCACTCAGGGAAAAAAAATACTGCTTTCTACACACTTTTAAAATAATAAATATTTTCAACAATTCATGAATCTCTAGGTGTCTAGTGTGTTGGACAGGTATTTGGAAAATGTCAGCTTATGCAGGAGAAAGAGCTGTGAAGGCATAAAGTAAAAGAAGACGATACGGCTGATTATGTTCATGCTGGATTTAAAATACAAGCTACTAAAAAAAGTAAACAGAAGTAGCTTACACTAATAGAATCCTCCCCCGTAAGTTCAGGGAAGCATCTCAACTGAACAGGTCAGGGTTTTGGTCCAGCACATTGGAACCCTGCATGTAAGCCAGGAATAGAGAGAGAGATACAGAGAACAACTTTATAAGTTCTTCCACTTAGATGAAAGCAGTAACAGCTTCATAAAGAAGTCTGAGGAAAAAACATAGGCACCACATAATTTTTTAAGGTTCAAAATGTACATTAACATGTTACAGCCCCCCCTTTCCCCTCTATTTATACACACATAGTTTATGTAAAGTTACATATTCAATAGAGTACCTTCAGCATGAAAAGTCTCTTAGGTCAACTGCTTGTGACAAGTACATTCAATAATGCAAAGTGGATCAATTGGTAAAGCCATCTCTCCCACCCCAATAAATTAAATTCAAACCACAAGAAACAGTTATATTAGCACTCAGTGGCTGGGCTTGTCAGAGCTCTGGAACAAGGAGCACAGCTCTTCACAGGTCTGTGTTTCTACTGAACTGAACTGGGACTCCATTGTATTCCAGGCTAAGTCAGCCAGAAGGAAGTCATCCATTGCTGTCTGTGTTTCGTTGCTGGTAAGGAATAAACTCCCCAGATTCTCAAAGCAGCTATCCATAGTCTGGGTCTCAGCACTACTGAGCTGGACTTTGCTTTCAATATTCTGAGCAGGTGTATTTTTAGTAGCCATATACACTTCTGTCTGGGTTTCTGTATCAGATGAGTCAGTGCTCATTGAGAAACTGGACTGTTTCAGAATACTTCCTAAAGGCAGATGGGTAGTACTGTCCAAAAAGAAATTCAAGTCTGTCTGTGTCTGTGTATCAAACATCTCCAAACCTAAGAAGTTAGAACTGCCTCGGCAGTTATATGATTGAGTGGCACTATCTGAAAATAAGAAATCAGTCTGAGTTTCAATGTCCAGTGACTCCAAAACTGGCTCAGAGTTCAGGGTACCAAGCTCACTTTCTTCAGTCTGAGTTTGGATGTTGGATGCTGAAAAGAACTCTTCAATGTCGAAGTCTATCCCTGTGCTCTGTGATGGAGCAGAAGGAAGATGTGTGTCAGCATTAGAACTTGTCTCAGACAAAAGGCCACGATTATCCAGTGTCTGGCCAGACATGTTTCCTGAAAAAATGTTTTCCAGATCACTTAGCAGGTCCATTGTCTGGGTTTGATTATCTGTTGTGTTTTGAGGTGGAAGTATATTAGTCTGCGTATTGAAGCTGATAAGGGATTCAGACTTAACCGTATCCTGATTCAGGCTCTTGCAACTACTTCTTTGCAGCAAGGTCTGATCTATGTTTGCAGGCATTAAATTGTTTTCTGGAAGTTCAATGTGAGTAGAAACATTATATGATGAAGGAACATTGTCAAAAATGTCACTGCACATTACAGCCTGGTCCATCTGTACTCTTCCATCAATACAGTCCTGTGTCCTGCTGGTTTGAGTCTCTCTGGAAATGCCACACGTTGGAAAACAGCCCTGACTGAAAGCATCAGTCTGAGCAGCTATGGATGAAGTCAGCTTGGAAGCAGGCAGCAGTGTCTGTGTCTGTACACTGATGGGCAATGAAACCTGGGAACTGAATGACAGATCTGTCTGAGAACAAGAGGACACAGAAGAATTGGGAGTCCAGGCTGCAGCTGGTACAAAGCTCTGTGAGATATAAGATAAGTCAGTCTGTATATTTATTGAAGAAATTTTGTTCTTGTGACAAACATTCCCCAGCTCTTGCCCTGGGTTATTTGATGTAACCTTGTCCAAATCAACTTGTACACCAGTACTTACTGGCTCGCGACCACCAGAAGTTGTCACTTTTGAAACAGGCATACTGTCTTTAAATACAAGTGTTTCTGCCTCCAGGGCTGGAATCAGGATTCCTATAGACTGAGGCAATAAATGAACAGTACTTACAACTGAACCTCGATTATCAACAGCCACTACAGCAGGTTTGACAGAAGAGTCTGTTGCAGATACATACACAGGCAAGTGAGCAACCTGCATCACTGGAAGTTTAACCAAAGCCACCTTGGGCTTGGGTAAAAGCATCTTTGGTGCACATTTTGGCTGCATTTGGTTCGTGAAGTTAGAACTGCAGGAGCCTTCAAGAGAGGCTGCTACTTTCACTTCAGAGGACTCCAGTTCCTGAGTGCCAGGAGCAGTACTGTGTGTATTGCTGAATGCTTCGTTTGCTTTCTCTGCCAACTGCTGATTATGAACGGAGGACTCCATTTTCCTTTTCTTACTAGGAGGATCCCTGTGAACATGAGATCAATAATTTATACTTCTTTCCAACACATAACATCTGCCTTCCATTCTTTTGAGCCACTGCACTGAAAATACAAACTGAAGTCACAGATGAGGTTGGATACGAGAAGACAATTAATCCAGATTAAAACATAAAAAGACTCCATGAAGTTCAATTTTGCTAAATGTCATTCCTTGATTTCTCATTTTAAAAAAGAATAAACACTACCCCTTATGGAGACCTATTTCCAAATGGATGTGCAAACTTAGATGGTGTCTTCCCCTCTTAGATTAAGCACATTGATTTGAAGACTTTTAATGTGTTATTTTGACACTGACTCAGACTGAGCATTGAAGGGACAGAGCTCTTAAAATACGTGTACAGCTAATGGTCTCTCATGGCAATAGAAAATAAAAATTAGCAATTCTTCACACAAAACTTAAATTTTGCAGCAGCTGAACCTCAAAGATGGCTAGGCTTCAGAAAGTAGATTGCCCTTTATGAAATATATGGACACAGGGAAACTATAAATCTAAACATAGGTGGTAAAAAATACATCCACCAACAACTGCAACAATGACTAGACTGTACAAGAAAATAACCTGAACTGCATTCCACACCTCAGTTACCAGCTACAAATATCTCCAAATCATGTCTACCCTCACAGAACTGTAAAAGCAGATGCAACAAAAACCACCACCATTTATGCCAAGCACTGCAGTGTCATCAGTACTTTTTGTTTTCTGTGTAGGGAAACCAGATCTTACTGATTAGATGACCACCACTGCCTTCAACAAAACAGAAACTCAGAAAAGCAACAAAGAAACTGCACACTGCTTTGCAACTAAAACAACATGATCCTAATTTCCTATTTAATAAACAGAAAGGAGACAAAAAAAAAAGCAGCACATGAGACACACAGGACTTGGTGATGAATGTATCATTACTTCACTGCTTCACTTTTACCTGTGTTCTGCAGGAATTTCATGGCCAGTTCTGTAAATGTGAGACAGCAATGCTGTTCTGCTGGCATAAGGGCACCCACAAGTACACTGGAAAGTCTTGCCACAGACCTCTATATGCCGTTTCAAATACCATTCTGTGCCATAGGAGTTACTACATTTATCACATTTGTGCTTCTTTTCAGCATGCATTTTCATAAAGTGCTAGAATACACAAGGGAAAGTAAACATTAGCATTCAGTGAAGATTAAAAAAATAAAATCATGGTTAGGGGAGAAAATATCTGCCAATTTTAGTTGCTAAGTAGCACTGAAGTGTAGCATTAATTATTTTTTAAAGCGTTACTACAAATAAGTTTAAAGAAGTCAATAGAGAGAATCTGAAGTTTGCAAACCTGCTGATGCTACATGCATCTTAAAAACACAGATAAACATCTACCCATTCTAATGCCATTGAAGATTCCCTGTGGACATCAATAAATCTATAGATCAGCTTTGCCCAATGAGCACAGTAAGGTTATGCTGCAACATGTGCACACTCCTGAGGATCTACAACTGAGCAAATAATCTCAAGTCATACAGGTCAACACCAGAGCAAACACCAGAATTTTTCCTTTTCATTTATGGTACCAAGTGCCAGCCACTCAGCTCCTACAGATAACCCCAGCTCAGCACAGGTAACCAACTGCAGCACAGTGCTCTTTTTGCTCTCTAATGCAGAACCAAGTCTTATATGTTTTCTTAAACAGGTTAACTAGTAAATAAATGCATTTTAATATTAAAGCAGAGAAAAGCTCTTAATCCTTGACCACTTGAAAAAGCAGTTAAAAGCATCAGCCACAGTTTAAATCTTCATCAGTTGCTACCGTAATTTTCCCCCCCTCTCCTTTAATCTTTCTCCATCTGTTTAATTTGTGGAGAGGGGCTCTGATCTAGTTTAGAAGAACATACTGGCCTCTGTCTGATCAAAAGGTTCAAGTCCTCTAATATCAACATGCAAACATGCAAACTCATGAATCACAAGTGCACTTGGAGCTGAAACATGCAGTTCTCTAACTTCTGCTATGTGCTGAGAGGTTATGCTTGTATCTGTATGCAAAAGTGCACACTCTTTGGAGTAGAGATAGGACTAAATAAGTGTGAAAATACTTCAGGAAACAGGAATACCTGTTTTACAAGAGAAAATTGGGAAAATGGTCTGTTTGGTCCTCTAGGGCAGCCTTCAATAGGACAGCAGTAGAATTTCTGTGAAGTTTTCAAACCCTTCCTTATTGGTGCATTAAGTTTTCCATCCTGAAAAAGAACCAGTTGAGAAGTTGACAATTCTACAGGTTTGCATATTCAAGACAATATTCAGAATACACTTGAACTATGGCTCACTGAGTTTACATATCTCAATTAGCTGGAGGCACTCTCCTATGTGATTTGAAAGTTCAAATGGAGTTTTTTCCCTGTGTGGATGCCACTTTGCAAATATCCCATCAAAATTACCAGGTTCAATTACAACAAGCTCTATGGAGTAGTGGTACTGTACTATTTACTTTTACCAAGACACTCCCTGTCCTATGTTTCCTGTTATTTGAATAAAAAAAAAATTTCCATACAGATAGTACCCTAGACTGCTGATTCAATGTGGTTTTACTTGTTAGTAGCACAGTATATGAAGCTCCATTAAGATTAGTCACTGAAACACAACACTTCCTTGATGCTGGAGTTCTGTTAGCACTGTTTAGAGCTTACTTGTAATAAAAATAAAAAATGCCAAGTATGCTCTGCCACCTAATTTAGATCATAAACCACATCTCACTTAAACTATGAAACAACTGGTATGCTAATTCTGACCCTACAAACACTAAGTGACCATCAATCCAGGCTTTCCATGTGAGTCGTCTCACTGATCCTCACATGGACAGAGAAGAAAGCAACACAACTTGCTCAAAGAAGGACATGTAAGAAGGACATCCTAGTGGGATTGTCCAGATTCTTCAACCACATAGAATCCCTTCCTACTGAAGACACTGGCATGGAAACCAGACAAGACATATACCTCTAGACCCTAACTGAAAGGGTCTCAGTAGAAGCATCAGGCATCTGCATCTGAGCAAAGAATTAAAAGTGAACTATTTAAAATCTGCTGCTCAGAGTAGCTGTGAGTCTCCTTCCATCCTGAGACTAAATTGGAGGCCAAACATTGTCCCCAGAGCCAGTTAGTGTAGTCCATGATGGCATCCCCAAGATGCTTTTTCAGGGAAGAAATGGGACCATGCTCTGTTTGGACTCTGCACCTGATTTTCCTTAGCATGAGGACAGTGAGCACAGTCAGTAATGGAAGGTTAATTTCACACCAGTCACTCCCTAGCTACCTCTTTGGGCACATCTCCAGCTGGTCGTGTTTACACAGGTTACACCAAACACAGAGAATGCACAAAGCACAACAGCCCTCGTGTGAAGCAAACAAAGTATGTACCTCAGCTGCCAGGGCCCAAAGGGCTTCCCTGCTCACACCCCCACCTCTTACCCACCCGCAATTACTCACAACCCAACAATGCTGTCCTCAGCACTCATGCCTTGCTTTTGAAGTCCTCTCATTTACACCTCAGGAAGCTGGAGAGGGGGATATTTCACTGGTTTTGTTTTCCCTCAAATCGCCTCTTAAACTAAGATAATCTGTAAAATGTAATCCCTTCAAGCAACATTCAGTTGTATTTCCACACACTCAACACTGCTACCTGCTGCCATTGCCACAAGTTCATTTTTATTAATGACATATCAAACTCAAGCAACGTTTAGAGCCTCTTGACCAAAACAATCACCTGCCATATCAAGAAAACCTCGAATGAGTCTCTAAAAAGGGAGTTTTCATGTAACATTTTTACCTTCTAAGTGCCTTGTACAGCAGTTTTCCCTGTGGACAGCCCATTCATAAACAGGTCTGTTCTATCTCTGCTGAATCATCGCTGTGACTATTGTTGTACCTCCTAGAGCCACTGCCCTAACAGGAACATGACACAAAGAAATCTAGTTGTTCCAGCCCCAATTCCACTTTTAACCCTGACTTCATACAGAACACTTTCATCACACGTCAAACTCCTCAGGAGAAAAGATCTGCCTTTAAGTCAAAGTTATGTTTGGCCTCTCCAACTGCAGATGATACCAATATGCTGAGTAACTGGCAATTAGAGTTACTTATTCCTAAATAAAAAGTTATTAAGTGTGTTATATTTAACATCACAACCCAACAACTGACAGGGCAATATGGGAAACATGTTCAGCCACTTGACAGGTAAACCTCAGTCAGGTTATTTAAAACTACTGAAATACTAAGGTATAGAATAATACCAAGTATTTAAAAGCTTTACAGACACCAATAAAATGCTTTTTAAACAGCTGGAACACAGTCTTTAGTGGCAGAGACCAAAACACATTAGTTGTGACAAGCTGAGACATACTCTACACATATAAGATATTGTATACGGACAGTAATCTTGCTTTGACCTATCCCAAGTCCTCGTGGCTCTAAATGGTTAATCCTGCATCTTCTCCAAGCCCACCTGGCCAGTCCTGTTTCAGACATTCTCACAGCTCCCTTCCTTACCTATCTGATTTTATGTCCCATGTTCCTACATCATCCACCCACCAAAATTACAGGCAGATATTGGTGCAATGAAGTTCTCCCAGTGCAGACCCTTGCGCTGTATGGAACACTGACATGGCCAGTGGCAATAACTGGGAAAGCAGGAATTAACAGTCCTTGCTACAGACTTAGTCAAGGTGAACTTAGTGACGTCTTGCTTCCCTGGCCCAGAAAGGCTTACTCCAAAGGATTAATTTTAAATGATGTTGCAGTAGACTGTAGTCAACTATTTAAAACATGGGGGTTTTGCAGCAGATGCTCAGCCATTTCTTTACTAAATAGGACAAGGAGAGAAGTGCATTTATTCTTATGATAAAAACCATTGTGGCAGTGCAGTATTTGAGTAACCTACCCCAAGGGTGTAATGCCCTTCCAGTTCACACTGACTACAGCCTCTCCTTTACATTAACTCTTCTAGCTTCATTTTAAACTACATACATGTAGTTTCCTTTCATCCCATAAAATGATATAGCCAAAAGACCAAAGAATTAAAATAAAAAATTCAAGTTTATATTCACTGCTCTCATTTTTTTAAATTAGCTTATCCTCTGTCAAGGAGCCAGAAAAATTATGTATCAACACATCATATCTTCTTTGTTAGGCAAAAAAAGTCCAATTTTTCTAATTTCCCTTTGTCAGAAACACTTGCCATTCATCACCCTTAGCAGTTATTTTCTACACATCTGGTTCATTTTAACTTATTTGAATCAGGTTCTTACCCTACGGTACCAACATAGAATATCCCTCTGCCATGTTTTAGGACTGCCCTTCTCACAGCAGCTTTACCCTAAATGCTCATTTGTGTATGACCAAATCATTTTGCAAGTGTTTCCCACCTCAGGTTATTTCTGTTACAAACCAGAGCTGGTCAAACCATTATCACTTCACAAGACTAAAACCTGATACTGCTACACTTGACTCTGTTTTTACAGGGCAATTTCTATGTAAATGTCCTTCCTTTGCCACTGCAATTCCTGATGGGTTTTGGTATAAAAACATCTTACTGGTGCTGCTTTTATTAATGAAAATTAACCAAGTCATCCTCCCTTCTCCTTTGGTGTACTGTGTTCTCTCCTTCCCAATAGCTTCTTACCATCTCATTTGCCAAGTTGTCTCTTCACTAGTTGAATATTTCACTAATAAATGCAATCTAATAAATTATTTTTGAGCAATCAGCTACCTCTTAAAAGGGAATACCAATATAAAAATATTTAGTCTCTCTTAAGCCTCAATAACATTTTAGTCTCAATTACAATGCCCTTGAAACAAGTCAAGAAGTTTCTGAAAGTTTGCATCCATCCATGTTTCAGCATTTATCCCAAGCCATCAGCAGATTCGGTAATTAGGTGTATGGAGTGTGCTCTAATTCTACAAGGCACTGGTGGCTAACAGCAAGCTGGGTGAGAAAGCAGCATTTGCTCCCCCATCATACCCCGAGTTATGTAAGCCACCAGCTGCACTGCACGCTCGGAGCATCAGATCACAACCAAAATGACTCTGCTGACCTGAAAGAACACTTGGAACTCCTGCTGTACCTCCCCCCTACATGGACATGTGAGATCTAACACATAACACACAGTAAAGCTGTTAGTTGGTACAGGAAATGAAATGAAAACATCCCAAGAGACACAAGACAGCAAGTACACTTGACACGATTTCCTTTTGTCCCTCACCAAGGAGCACGTGTGACCCACACTGCCTCTGTAGCCATTTCACAGAACAGGGATGTTTATTGTTCACCCACTGAGGCTGCACTTTCAGAACGCAGCTATGAATGCTGCACTTGAAGTTTTCCAGGAATACAATTTGTCCTTGCAAGCTCGGCATTACAATTTTGGGAAAAGCAAGGATATCTTTCCGAAAGGCCCACTCTCAATGTGTGCCTGCTGAACTGTGGTTCTCCTCCTCCCCAGCACATGCTTAGCTCAGGAGTATTATGGAAATGAGGGCTTGTTTCCAAAATGGCATCCATCTGTTTTGCTGGTTTTTTTTTAGCTCAGACATTTTTAAAAAAACAAACAAAACCCCAGCATAACAGCCCTCGGCGTTGGGATGGAGATGGTTTGCCAGCTGATAAGGTTAGGAAATGCTGCATGTTTGCACAGCACCTCACAAGTGGGGCTTTAAAGTCTTACTGCAGAAAGATTGGTGATAAGCAAGTAAAACAACAGAAGCTAAGTCCCAAAGAACTCCTAACTGCCTGTGGTATGTTTACAAAAATGTGCAAAATTGGTTGTTTTCTGTAAGTAATTTTAGAGGAATCCTCAACACAATTGGTCAGCCCATTCACACACACACTTGTGTATTTATATGGGGTCCTGCACAGGCCTTTCACAAGGGGAAATTTAAACAAGAGACAACGAGAAACACTTCATTATTCCCATCTGGAATCACAGAATGGTTTGGGTTGGAAGGGGACCTTGAACATCATCTTGTTCCATCCCCATGCCATGGGCAGGGAAACCTTCCACTATCCCAGGTTGCTCCAAGCCCTGTCCCACCTGGCCTTGGACACTTCCAGGGATGGGGCAACCTGTGCCAGGGCCTTCCCATCCTCACAATGACGAAATTCCTCCTAATTCTAACCTAAACCTACTCTCTTTCCATTTGAACCCGTTTCCCCTTGCCCTGCCACTCCAGGCTCTTGTCCCCATCCCTCCTGTGAGCTCCCCTCAGGTACCAGAAGGCCTCAATCAGGTCACCCCACAACGCCCTCCTCTCCAGGCTGAACAACCCCAGCTGTCTCAGAATCTCTCGGAAGAACCCCAGTTCTCCCCAGGGTGGGGAACCACACCGCCCCTCAGTCTCACTACGAACCAAACCCCAGCAGAGCCAACGCCGCAGCCGCCCCCCGGACCCGGACCCGAGCCGGCCGCAGGCCCCGGGGCGGAACACGGCGCTGCGCCACGCCAGAGCCACGCCGCCACGGTGAGGGGCCGAGCGGGAGGGGGCGGCGGGGCCGGCCCGGCCTCACGGCGGTACCTGGAGCGGGTGCGCCTTGCTGAGGTGCATGTTGAGGGCCGGGCTGTTGGGCAGCACCTTCCCGCAGCCGGGCACGGTGCACAGGATGTTGGTCCGCACTTGGGACAGCTCTGTCACCGAGGGCCGCACCAGCTCCCCGGCGGGCGGCACGTCCCTCACGGGCGCGGGGGGCCGCCCCAAGCCCCCGCCACGCCGCCCGGCCGCCGCCGCCATGTTGCTGTCAGCTGCTCGGCCCCCGCTCCGCTTCCGGGGGCAGCGGCCAATCGGCGGCGGCGCTGCTGAATATTCATGAGGCACGTGGCGCGGCCCCGCCACGCCGGGGGAACGGCGAGGGGCAGCTCGGGCACGGCACCCGGCGCGCCGGGAGCACCGGGCCACGCCGGGGGAACGGCGAGGGGCAGCTCGGGCACGGCCCCCGCCGCACCGGGAGCACCGGGACACGCCGGGGGAACGGCGAGGGGCAGCTCGGGCACGGCCCCCGCCGCACAGCGCTCAGGACTGCGGTTATTGTGTGGCACCGGGAAGCGGAGAGGCAGGCACCGCTGTCTCTGCTGGTTTGGGAATGGCCGAGCTCCGGCTGGGTATTAGGAAAAGGTTCCTCATGCACAGCACGGGCATTTGAACAGATGTCCCCGGGAAGTGGTCACAGCAGCAGCCTGAGAGAGCTCCAGGAGCTCCTGGAAAACACCCCTAAGTCACAGGGTGGGAGTGTTGGGTGTCCTGTGCACGGCCAGGAGCTGGACTTGACGAGCCCTGTGGGTTCCTTTCCAACTCAGAATATTCTATGATTTTCTGATATTGGAATCACCAACACAACACACAGCTATGCTGTCCTAGAGCTATGCTCAAGTTAAGGGAAAAGATGAACACCATTTTTTGGGTAAAGCTGTGCCATAGGTGTAGCTCCAGGATGTGTTCCTCCTGCAGCCCCTGTGCCCTCAGCTGCAGGCATTCTGCTGCCTGGGCTCAGCACAGAATAGTTTGGGTTGAAAGGGATCTTTAAACACATCTAGTCCAGCCCTGAACTTCCAAATTGCTGGAAGAGACCAACTGGAATGGGAAAAACAAGACTGGTCTCCACATTCCCCCTTCTCCTGACCTCCTCCATGGGGACACCTGCTCAGCAAGAAGGAACCTCAGAGCTGCAGATGTTTCCTGACCAATTAATAAATGCTCACCTCCTTGCCTGGAAATGCTGCATAGTTCCTGGAATATCCCTGCCTGCAGGAAGTTAGAGATAAAACATCTCTGAAAATCAGAGATACTAAAAAGGGGATGGAGGCTGCCTTTCCCAGAAACAAGAGGCAGTAGGCCAGGTACTCACAGTGTTCTAGAGCACTTGGGAACTTTATGGTAAATCCCTGCCCTCTCAGGCATTTAGGTTATTTGGGAGAGCACATTATGAAGAACAAGTTGCACAGAGTGAAATATATGCTGGAATCTTAATGGATCTGAATCCTGGAAGTATGGTGAAATATGTTAAGAGCCAGCTCTTAATGTCTATCACACCAAACCTGGAGTTCTTCCACAATCCTAACATTATGTTAAGTACTTTGTCAAATCAACATATAAGGCACACAGGTGGAATTCCTAAAATCCATACCACTAGCAGATAGTCCTAAACCTATTTTCATGTGTGAGTTATAGAGATGCTGAAAACCAAACTAAAAATCTGTATATGATAAGTAATGTTTTCAAGTCAGGCCAAACAAACTTTCATGAGAAGACTTAATTTACACATTTATTTACAGTCCAAAACCAAAAACATGCCCATACAACCTCTGGATATAGGGCTGCTTCTGTACACTGAGATATTGAAAGTATATTGGAATTCTACATACACCAAGTACACACAAAACAATCCAGATAACAGAATTGAAAGTGAAAACTTGTACATTTTAAATGAATATTCAGATCAAATCAATCTCAAAAAACAAAGCAGGAAATATCTATACAATTGCCAATGTTTACCAGCTCTAAAGAATTCCATTGCAGAGCTGTTTGCATTAGTGACTGTTGCCATCTTGATTCCATAATCTTTGTTCCCAAGCAAAAATCCAGTGGCAGTGGGTAAGGATTTCAGAAGGATCAAATACTGAGTTATTCTAAAATATGTAACTTCAAAAGAAAATATTGTCTCTTCCATTGTATTCTTCCCAGACAAAATTTTATAAGACATTAACAGCAACAGGCAGATTTTCAAGTATTTCTTACTGGCTGTTGCCCTTGGTGAGAAAGACTTTGGAAGCTGAATCAATGATTCCTCCTGAAGCTGGATGGAAGCTTTGTACTCACATCTGCATTCCAAAAGTCTATTCTCCCCTATGCCCCAAAATAGTCTTAGCATGCAATTCATCTACTTAGATAAAAACATCCCTGAGCTGCAGCCAGGGAGCCCCACCCGTTTGGAAGGGATTGTTCCCACACAGGGCAGGTGTTCTGTCCAAAACATGGAAGGCTGCCTGGAATATTGCAGCCTTCTCCAGCTATGATAGCAAACTGAATAGCTACAGCTACTACTGTGTCTTTATTAACTTCACAAATACTATTAAGATACAGTTAAGAGCAGTCATCACATTCAAATTTAAAATAACTATCATCTCTGTTTAAACTTTGCAACTAGCTTTTTTTTTATTAGTTCAGGCTAACTTCTGTTAAAGACAGCTGTGGGAAAATAATCCAAGCAGAGCCATAAAATGGAAAAAACTAAGGTCTTAAGAAATAATAACTTATTTTTTAAAACCTTATGATGATTTAGATTAATACCAGTAATAAATGAGCTGCATATTTCTCTAGAATCAGTTTTAATTTAAGGGCTTACAAAACTTTCTGGATATAAACCTTTTTTCTCTCTAATTTTAAAATAATTCCTAGCTTTATGTGGTATGCATGTAAGGAGTGGTGAAAGTGGTGCATCAGCCATACCTGGGGAGAGAGAGAGACAGATAATTGCAGCTGTACTCAACTACAACTTACCTTTAATAACTGTTAATAAAACTGAAACAATAAATGAAACCACTAAAACTAAAGCCACAGCTTGAGTATCCATGTACAAACCAGTAATTTAAAGAATAAATTGTTAAGACATAAATTTTTAACATTTTTTTTCTACATTTCTTTTTCTAAACCAGCTATGAAGATGCTCCCTTATGCGAGATACAAGCAGAATGTAAGATGACAAAAATATTTAAAACTCTGGAATTTCAGTCCATTTGACAGAGTTGGAACACTTACCTGCTGGTGCCAAGGATTTCAGTGATTCTAAAAGATGTGGACTAGAAAACTTGACCAAACATCTGAATGGCTCTTTTTTATCCAAAACATCCATTTTAGGATCACTTTTAAACATCGTCTCAAGCTGTTAACACAAAATGTAACCAGTAAGTACAAGCAATGAATATACTTTATTTATATGTTATTACATTTAAACTTTTAATAAGACTGTTTCCAATTTGTAGTGATAACATGATTCCAGCTGGAGGAATGTTGTAGTAAGATCTGAGGGTGCCACCATGTGGCAGAGTTTTCTGCTGAAAGCACGAAGCAGCTTGTTCAGCAATACTGTAAAACATTAAGGATTTCTTAGAATTTTCAATTTATCTGTTCATGCAATAAAACCTGTGCATCATTGAGAAGTCAGTTATGGTGTCATACATAGCATAAGCTTTGTATGTACTTAAAATAACCCTTACTTCTCATGCTCCAACACACTGCCAGTCTAAGTCTACCTTTGTTACAAAAACAGCTCAAAATGCTGAGTTCACAAGGCTGAAAGACTGAAACACAATCTAAAACTCTGACCAAATTTCAATCAGAGACTTTTAACCCATTTATTTTAAAATGTCGTCCCTAAAGTTTTAAAAAACCCCGTAATATTTCTTAAATCTGATCTAACTGCCACTACATTAAAATTAGAAACCCCAAATAAAATTGGTTGCTTTTCCTACCCTGTATTGTGCAAATTCGAGTTTTGGCTGGGGACCACTACCAAAAACTTCCTGGTTCAGCCTGTGGATTCTTTCTTTCTCACTTCTGTTTTCTTCAACTATCCTTATATCTGCTGCAGGGGAAAAAAGTAGGAAAAAGAAAAAGAAAGACAATGTTGTCAGCTGGTGCAATCCTGTTTTGCTGATCAGATTATTCCAATGAAAATTTGTAAATAATAGTTTTAGTGAATTCATTGCACTCTTTTTTTTGGATAAGGTCGTTGTCTCTACCACTTATATTTGCAGTTCTTACCAAGAGAAAAACACAAGCTAATGTGAGATACTGGGCACTGAGTGGATTTGGTTTCCATGTCCAGTGCCACTCCTAGGAAACACTGACCTCTCCCAGTGCCAGCTGCTATTAAGGCATCAGGGATGGAAAACATAACAGGAATGGAGCATATGTACATTTCCTTTTATCGATCTCATTTCACAAGCTAGCAGGAATGACATTTAAACTGCCTTTACATTTCAATTATACATACCATTTTCTGGTTCTACATTCCTTCCTTGCAGAGGTTTTGGAGTGTGAGTTTGGAAGTTCTAAATGGAGAGAGAGAGAGAGAGGGGGGAAAAATTATTTTAGTTAAGTTCTTCTTTTAGAACCTCTAGCTGAAAAGAACTTTAATATATTTCCTTTTATTTCTCATTTTGGAAGAATGATCTTCCACAGAGAGAGAGGAAAAATTATTTTGGTTCAGTTCTACTTTTAGAACATCTAGCTGAAAAAACTTTAATATATTTCCTTTTATTTCTCATTCTGGAAGAATGATCTTCCAAAATCTGATCATTACTAGAAGTCTGAAAGCCAACCTAATTTTGGAAAAAATGCCTGTCTTAGGATATTTGTGAACATTTCCCTATTTACAAGTTTTGCATGGATGAGCAGACTAAGCACCCATTCCAACAGCCTTCAACTCATGGCTCTAGGAAGCCTAATGAAAGGATGATAAAAAAAGCTTAGGACTGAATTGTTCATATAATTTGTAGTCTGAGTTTAGCCATCAGGAATTACAATAATAAAGAGTATATGGGATACCAAATAATTACATCCCCATTGCAATGTTACCTTCATGAAAGGCTGTCGACCTCAGTAGTTCAATATTATTTTAACTTGATGGTCTCTTGGAAAAGGTGAATTTTTCCCCCTTGCTAAGGGGTGAGAACTAGGCCTGAAACAAAAAGCAAGACTTATCTTAGGATTTACTTGTGAAGTGGCTCACCTGGCTATATCTTTTAAACACAA